AGTTGGGCACGTGATGTGCGCATGAGATATTCCGGGAAAAAATCGCTCGAAAAAGTGAAAAGGGATTTAAATTGATCCTTTTTTATTTACTAAGGATTAAAAGTGATCATTTTTTATCTGAGGGATAAATTTTCACATTTGCAATATGTGAGGGACTATTTGTGCAGTTCTCCCTACTTTTTATACTTATGTCACGAATTGGCAGCAAAGGGAACGTGGCACATGACAAAATTTTCAGATCAGAATACTCTTTTGTCCACTGGATAATATCACAAAACAGCTCTTTATCAGGTTTTAAGGCTGCTCTCCAAATGCCTATATAACTAGTTTTGTCCATTTTAATGGTAATTCATCCAACCACCAGCCTTTGGATTGATGGCCATCACCAATGCATTAAAGTTTGGCAGAGTGAGAGGCAAGGGTAACTTATCAAAGCTTACCTCCCACCAATTTGCCACAATTAAATGTGGCCTTGTTTAAAAAATTCAGGTAGATGCGTAGTGCACTCGTCTGATTCGATGGTGGTTCAATCTTCTCCAGATTACTCCAGGATCTCTTCAGGCCCTCTCTCTCCCCACGGTATAGGAAGCGATTGTATCAATAAAAAAAAATAATGGTAACTCATCCTGCCTTCTTCAACCAATTGATATTTGCTACTGATTTGATGGTTGGAGTGACACTGGAGAAAGGTCCGACCATTTAATTTCTCATCATTCGACCATGTATTGTCCACCCTCCAGCTCGTATCCAACTCCGCACTTCATCTTGGAAAATTTATTCTGTCAAAAAATAATAATAATCTGACATGAAAACTTGAACTTCTCAAAACTCAAAAGCGTGTAACCTGCATGCCGTGCTTTCTTAGCTTTTGAAATTGGGACACAAGACAAAGCTTTTCAGGTTGGAACACTCTTTTATTCACTGTATATTAGCATGAAACACCATTTTATCCAGTTTAAAAGGCACCTTCCAACTGTCTGTTAAACTAGTTCTTCTCCATTTTTTTCCCCATTTTAGTGGTAACTCATCTTAGTTTCTTGAACTCTTCAATTTTAAAGTTAACTTGATCATTGGAGTGAAATTGAGAAGAAAGCCCAACCTCCAGCTCTTATCCAACCTGAAATTTCATCCCAGTAACAGTTAGGGGAAAAAATATGCAGTGATAAGACATACATATGCAGATTTAGATGCATGTCATCCAAACAAATTTTGGTATTTAGATCTAAATTAAGATGATATGGCATGCATCTAGACCTGTTAATATATACATTGACAGTGTTAGAAAATTAATAAAACAAAAAGAACTCTTAACATGAAATTTTGAAATTTTCATAGACTAACCCACATGACTGTGCTTCATTTGTAGCTTTTGAAATCCACGACTAAATTAAGTAGGGCCAGGGTGAAATTCATTTCAGAAGTAAAGTTTCTAAGACTCTTGGAATCCTACTTCCCAGGTAATTTTTGGTGACTGATTTCCCCTTCCTACCAGCAACCAAAGAAAGAAAAAAACATTGAGGTGCCATTTGGACCCATTTCGTGATTTTGCAGGTGTAAGGAACCAACTTTAGTATTTTGCTTTGCTTGCAGCTTAAACTTCTCTAGCCTGAATCTATAGCTGGATCCCAATTTTACTCTTGTCAGGGATATGACGGTTGTGTTCCTTTTAGCTTTCTACACTATACAAGAATCCACTTTATATTTTATGGCGTGGAAGTTTGAATTTCCAACCTACTCTGGGGTATCCTGTTTCATGCTTTAAGTTGATCGACTCCATGTCAATTCCTCAGCCGCACTAAACCAGACAAAAAAGTTGTATAAAATCCAGTGCCTTCCATCTTGGCATTGCCTTGTTTAGATAGCGCGTTTTTAGAGTTTTTTTGAAAAAATATATTATAACAACATAACATATGTAAGGTGGAAAGGCAATTAAAAATGTGTTGAGATAATTTTTCTACAAAAATTCACAATTCAAACAAGACCTTAGTTTTGCTAGTGAAAACCTCAAGTAATGTTTTCCAACTAGAATAGGTTTGACTTCGGTTTATTCTCAAAAAAAATTTTTTGATATTAAAAGTGGTAAAAATATTATTAATATGAAGAGTCTGCATTAAGAGTGGAAATTACAAAGTTTGGAATGGAATCTCTTTAAACAACAAATCATTGAAAAAAAAAAACTAGCATTCCTCTCTAATACATGCGCAACATCATTATGAATCCTAGGAACCAAGAAACTTTCCAAGCAGAAAAACTTTGAAGAGCAGCAATGCTGTCCGAAATCAATATTGCCACGCTTGAATTTTCAATATCCTGATCATGAATGGACGAAATGACTTTCTCATTATCTCCTTCAAGAACAACGTGATCGAAATTGAGTTAAGCTGAACAGCAAACTTGGCTGCATAAGCTTCTACTTATTTGAGCAAAATGGGTTAATACCACTTTGTCCCCCCAAACTTTGGACGATTACCCACTTCAGTCCCTAAACTTCAAAATGGGACATTTAAGTCCATAAACTTATAAATACCTCCTACTTAAGAAAAATTGTTAACAAATACTGAATGCCGTTGGTGGTCGAAGTGTCTCATTTTATAAGGGTTTAGGGATTTAAGTGTCCCATTTTGATAAGTTTAGGGATTTAAGTGGGAGGTATTTATAAGTTTAGGGACTTAAATGTTCCATTTTGAAGTTTATGGACTAAAGTGGATAATCGTCCAAAGTTTGAGGGGACAAAGTGGAATTAACCCGAGGAAAATTTACCAAGCAACTTTTTGAACAATCCTGCCACAAAGTTTCGATTTTCATCTCGAATCACCATGCCAATTCCTGAAGAGCCATCATGTTGAAAAGTTGTGCCATCAAAATTTGCCTTAAAGAATCCATGTCTAGGCTCCAGCCGCATAGAACTGGTTGACTGAATTTGACATTATTCTCAAATGATTCTAGGCACCCGATTTTAAATTTTGACTCTAAAAACGTTATTGTGTTCTATTCTCTATTACTTATGAAGACCAATTTTTTAGCCAAAACAATCAAAAGCGACATAAAAGCTATTAAAGACTCAAATAAAATTATTAGAGGCATAAATCCTACAAATTCAAGTTAGTAACTATCCAAAAGACCAAAAAATTCTGTCCTCCAAAGTGGGGGAAACAAAAACCAGATTACCAAAATATGAGAATACGAAATATAAATTACGCTCTGTCTGCGGATTATTTCAACCAGATGCATTGATCGACTACTTGCTTGTTCAGCTTAGACTTAATGATGTTTTCCTTTCCCTAATGGTAGGATTTAGAGGAGCATAAAATATTCGGTATTTAGGTTTCTCTTCAGCAATCTGCTTTAATTAAGAATTACAACTCGAATAAACTAATTAAGGACAAGATAATCTCATTTCAACAGTGAAACCTATAATCATCCTCTGCAATTAAAACCCTAGTTATACCCTTTTCCCTCGTTGCAAAGCCTATCCTGGAAGCTAAAAATTGTAGAAAATTAACACCAGAAGATGACAACAAACTAATAAACTTCAAAAATCATCAGAATAACAACAAATCATATATCTGAAATTTCAAGATAAATACGTAACAAATACTACCAACCAAAGAAAATTATAGAAAAAGCATTAAAAAAATTGAAAAAAATGTAAAGAGACTTAAAGATAAGAAGGGTAATCGAATGGGATAGCGCTTTACATGAAATTGATGTTATAGAGCCTTCAATATCAGCTCAGAATCAAGCATTAATGGAGGAATTTTATTCAAAAGCTTTACCTCCAGAGGGAAAGGGGAAGTTTTTGCAGGAATTTTAAAATCGGACCCTTTATGGCAAATATGGAAATGTGTTTCTACTTTTATGAGTAATGATGAATGATGTAAAATCCCTTTTTTTTCGTTTATTAATTTTTAAGAAGTTAAAAAGCTAAAGTATTTAAATGCAGGAGGAAAAAGGAATATAATTCACTTTTCACATACTAATTTTGGCAAAATTACTTTTTCCACGTTAGATTGTCCAAGCCTATTAACAGAAAAGCAAAGCAAGCCTGTTTAATAAAAAGTCAACTTTATGTACATTGACAATATATATACTATCACGGTTAATTAATTATATGTACATTGACAATGTACATACTATTACGATTAACTGTATATAAATTTTACATTTTAAATTTAAATTTAAATTAGTTGTTATACATCAACGATAATAAGATAGTTACCGTTAGTATATAGAAGATTAATCCTTTAATAAATAAGGGATTGTTTCAAACAACAAACTAATCAAATGGTAATTTTCTCTCTTCTAATAACCTTATATCTTCTAAATTAGATTTTAGAATTATCTTATTACTTCATAAAAATTTATTTTCTATTTTAATACTTGACCAATATACATTTGAGTGTAAATAAAAAAATCATACAATCATAGGAAACTAATTGTACAAGGAAAATAACTTTTCATACCTTCGAGAGAAATTTTTTATTGACAATGATCTATAATTTTCACGACATATTATTTAGTTTAGATATTAAAAAGAGAAACTTGGATGAGAGCAAGATCATATTTTTGGGCTAAAATTTTTTAAGGAGTTGCTTTCGTTTAACCTTTTGATCTACTGGTATTTGATAGGTTTCGTTTAAGTTTTAGACAAATGATATTGGCACTTCAATAAAATAAAAAAGAAATATTATTTCATCTTTTCAATTTTCAACTTTCACTATTCTTACATCAGTCCTAAATTGTTATACTATTAATAGTGCAAAATTTGTTTAATAAATGCCATGTGGGTATAAATTATTTAGTAGCTCTTAAGTAAAGTACAAGTTTTTGTGATTTGGAGTTGTAGTATTATTTTTGGACTTGTTCCTTATTCTTTTGTGGAGCTTTACAACTTTAACCGATTACTAGTTAATTTGGGCATAGCGCGAGGCGCGAGGTTGCCCATATGGCAATTGGTATGTGCTCAAAAGGGTAATGATAAATTGAAAACACAGTATCGCTGCAGTTGAATACATTAAAATTAAAAAGAAATAGAGATTATCCAGACTAATAGTAAACTATTATATTTACATACATCAGAGTATTTCTATAGATGCTGTCACTCGAATACTTGCACTGATGGAGCCTTTTGATTCCTAGCAGAGACTTTTAAGTAGGCTACGAGCCTGTTTGTAGCTGGTGATAGCCTTGAAAAATGAATAAAGTCTTTGCTACTTGCATTCTTTTGCCGACAAAAGTTGGTAATGACAGTAGGCAAGCTTTTGAAGCTGATGATGAATTGCATGCTCTGGTGGTAGTAGCAGGATTGACCACAGTTGGCAAGTAAGCTGTTATGCTGTAAATCTGCAGAATGTTAAAAGCATTATGATCTTAATTGTTGCAGTAAACATTCATGATAGAACAGCCATGAAGCCCAAATCATACCAGAGTGCGTTAAAACTACGACCTTTATTTGGCATTCCATGTAAATATGATCCTCTTTAGAAATATCAAGTTACCAAAGGCATTAGAAATCTCCGTTTGGATTGGCCCTTTTTTCAAAAATAAGTTTTTTAAATACAATACTATAATAATATATAAATAAAAATAACTCAAAAAATATTTCATTCATACAATATATCAAATATTTCAAAAAATATTTTAAAATATTTATTTGAAATAATTACTGTAGTACTTTTTGTAATGTGATGTATGTGAGATAAAAAAGTGATTGGAAATTGTGTGTATGATATAAGTAAAATAAAATCTGAAATTTTTTTTAAAAAATTCTTGATATCCAAACAAGCTCAATTTATAGTAAAAATGTTTCATATATACTGTTACAGTAAAATTTTTCAAAAACACCTCTAAAAACAGCTAATCCAAACGGAGCAGTTCCTTCACACATGTCATATAAGATCTACACAAACAATTGCCTATTTTTTTACATCTTTTCTCATGATTATATAATAGGAAAATGCATTAAAGATCAAGAAATCATGTAACTTGTGAAGACCTGAGTGTACAAAGTGAAACCAACAGAGAAGTAATTAGGAAGTTCAACTAGTTATCTATAAAAATTTGAACAAAGGAAAATGCCCTATAATACATGTTCCATACGGTCTCCCCGCAACACTATAGATACATTCCCATATTCGAATAGACAGACTTCCCCACCAAAATCAATGTCTAGATAGAAACAAAAAAGCATTCCAGGAAAGGATGATACCATGAATGTAACTTGTACCCCATCTGAGGAGTTCGAGCCAAGCCACTATTGAGCTGAATAACACCACACTTGGAAGTATCAAAGATACTGGAGATGAGTTTTACTTAAATTCTTAGATAATACAAGAAATTTGTTAGGAACCTTAAAACTAAGTCAACCGTAATTCTAGTGATCAAAATTGAAAAAAAAATTAGGCCGAACCCATGACTGAAGCTTTCTATTAAATCATATTGAAAAGAATAAAAAAAAAACTGGAAATAGAATAAATAATCCAAACATAACAAAGCTCAAGGTACAAATCAATTTCATCCCTAAACAGTAAGACGGTTATTAAGTTTAATCAACTTATCAACTTTAGCTATGGTTGGATTTCAAACTTGGCAAAATTTTTGGGGCAAAAAAACATGCTAGGAAGGAAATAAGCTAAAGCCTCAAGAATTAACTTTACCTGGTATCAGGAAAAAAAAAAAAATTTTAGCTACCTTCAAGCAGCCCTCATAAGAGAGGGCCAAAATGAATTGGCAGAGGGTTTGGGAAAGTGTGTAGAGCAACTTAGAGAGAGCAGCAAGGAAAAGCAAAGCTATCCGGTTGACTATTTCATGCGTCTCAGTAGGTGATTGAAAGGGCGATGTGCAGGGCGAAGCAGAGACGGAGAGATGGAGAAAACAGAGGGATTGTATTGGTGTACTTCGATGTTGAGAGAGGCCGTGAGAGAACTGAGGAATGTGTACATGAACTGAGGGATGTCTAAAGCACATTTGCACCATTTTTAAGAGAGACATGCAACTTTACCAGCTTCCAATTGCTTCCACGTAAGCTAACAAAACCAACCAACTCTATTTTTACAACACCAATGCAACAAGGTGACCACCTACCTACTCATCGTGCCCATACGGGACCATGACTATTACTATTCATAAGCCAACTCCTCTTTTCAATCATTTACTATGTCTGGGGATTAATCTTGGTATTAAAATGATTGGAGAATAAGTTTCTGGGTCTTTGGGTCATTTTAATTTTGCCTATTATATTTCTTTTATGATCAACTTTGAACCCTCAAATGTGCAGCAATTTGCTCTCTCCATTAATTTGCCTCCACTATACTTTAAGCAATCCCTTGGACCTTTTTTCTTTTGTTTATTTTACTTATTTGATATTCTAGAAGTCGCTAACACAAAATTAATAGAATAACCAAAACGTAGGTTCAATGGATTAATTGACGAAAAAAATTGATAGGAAAAAATGGAGTTCAAAACTATTTGTTGGTTACTACTAGCACACTTCAGCTGATTAAGTTAATTTTCTCAGAAGAAGAAACACTTTAGTTAATTAATAATTTTTGAATATCACAATGGATAAAAGTATTGTTTTACCCCTTTTGTTACTTTCTTTTTCTTTATTTTTTGATTTTGGTCCAATTCTTTTTTGTAATGGAGGAAGATGGGGTTATAGGTAAAATGGAAAATTTTTACATTTCATCTTACAATCTTAATTTCATCCTTTTGAACATCATAACATATAAGATATAAGCAATGTTTCTATGTATAAAGATACGATTAGCGTAAAAAAAAAGTTAAACAGTAATTGGGTGACATGAATGATGTTGCATCTATGACAATTGAAAAATAATGATCATAATAGAATAGTCTGCACCAAGCATTTTTCCAACAAATTTTTCTTGTTGTTCCCCCACATTTTTTAAAATAAATTTTTTATTTTTTAATCATTTTCTTATTTCACAGCAAAACTCTGGGCCAGCCTTTATGGGCTCAAGTTAGAGTGGCATGTGGGAGAGAATCAAGTCCTTATCAGCCCACCAAGATCTATTAGCGTGCAATGGGCTTGGAGCCCATCTTCATCTAGACCCCCAAAACAAAATGCTGTAGTATAATAGTTAAATTTCAAATTCAAATTTTATGTAATTGTCATTTATCCAACCTAACAATCTATACACTGTCAGTGTAAAAATGATTAATCTTTAAAAAAAACTTTTACAAATAATCTTCAGTCTAATGAAGGGTCTAATTGAAATATAGAAAACTTTTATAAAAGGCATTCGTTGTGCTCTAGTCCTTATTCCGTTATTAGTTGGTGGAGAGTAACCAAATTATTAAACCACTTTTTTTAATTATTAAACCACCTGTTAATTCTAAGCTACTCCTTTTTGCTATATTTTTCTAGTCTTTTTTTTTTTCAGCACGTATTTTTCTTATCTTAAAGTCCTGCAAGCTAGTTCTACATTGAAACCATCGCCATTGTGTAACACAAATGCAATTGTTAGAATTTGATGCTCTTGTGCTTTTCATTGAATAATTTTCTTTTATGTCAATGTTACATTCTGATATGAACACAAAATTGATAGTACCCTTAAAAAAAATTAATTGGTGCCCTTAAAGAAATTAAGAGCTAATTGGATTTTGTGCCCTTAAAATTTATTGCTATTCTGACATCACAATCTAAATTGAACTTTTGGACACTTTTTCTCAAATGAAGTTGTTTATTCCGACTGCATCTCAAACTTTAATTTTGAGACATTTTCCACCCTCAAATTGTTTTATATATTTCTCTTTGGGAAAGAATAGTTTATAATGTTTAAAAATTGATTGAATCATGAATAGATTGGAATTAGATATTCAGGAAGTGAATTGGTGTTTAACAATGACACACTCTTTTTGGACCCCAGAAATATTAAAAAATGAACCCAACCACCTGCACCAAGTACCAATCACTAGAAATTAAAGACCCTAGCTTCAAATCTTCGTTATCCCTGCTTGCTTCTAAAATCCGACTCTTCCTCAACTAAAAAAAATTAAAAATAAAAAGAAGTGACAACCACCGGTTGTAATTTTAATGTTTTGATGGTCTCTGACTCTTTAACTGATACTAAAGTAAGCAAATTCTTATGCTTATCCGTACTAATTACCTTGGTAATTAGCCAAAATAGTTGAAAGTACCAATATCATACTATCGAGTTTGGAAAATTTAAACATACCAATTACTGAGCATATTTAAATGAAATAAGGAGTGAATTGGGGATATGATGTTCATACCAGGAGAAGGGATCTTAGAATTCTTTTTCCCACTGTCAAATTTAGGGTTCGAATTTTGCGTCTAGCAGTTAGGGGTGAGAAAAGTGTCGGGGGAAGTGAGAAATATTTTTAAAAAAAAAAGATCTAAATGAATAATACAAACCTAACTAGCTAATTTAAGCAATCGCATGTTATTGTATAACATTTGTCATAGCCGCCCAAATTATATCATCACTATTCACCACCCCAAAGATCAGGCAAGATACGATTGTTGCCTTGTTTTGCTATTTTAATACGGTGCTATCTTCCTCTCTTCTGAACCTTCTCAACTTGTCTTGTTCAATTAAAATCCATTTATTGTTCTTTAAAATTTTGTGTCCCTTCCACATGCGATTCGAGAGTTTTAGTGTATTTTGATTTGCAATTACCTTTCCCAGTTTCAATTCAATGCAATTTTGCTTAGCTTAACAGTACCATTACAGTAACTACCAAAATTAAAAGGAAAATTGAAAGCCTAATTTACTTAAAATGCATTGAAAATTTCCAATGCACTCGAAAAGGGAAAATACTTGTTTTCATCCTTAAAACCTTAGGTCATTGATACATTTCATTCTCAAACTATCTAGTGTAATATATTTAATATTTGAACTATCAATGTTTGACAAATTTCATCCTGAAATGTGAAGTTAATTAATTTGAACAGAAATTGGAGTTGGAAAGAAAGATAGTTTTAAAGTTGGTAAAGTAAAAATAAATTTTCTATTCTACTGATTTTAATTCATGCAAGATTTTCTACTTAACGGTTTCATGCTTATCACATGTTGATTTGAAGTCATACAAGGCTTTTGATTTAACGGGCTCATGCCCATCACATGCCCAATTTCCATTCCAATTGATTTCCCGTTTGAGAATGAAATTAGTCAAGAATTGATAGTTTAGATACTAAATGTATTATACCAGAAAATTTGAGGATGAAATATGTTCATGGCCTAATGTTTAGGGATAAAACTGTCATTTTCTCCACTCGAAAGCTTATGGATGAACTATTCGTGCATTATATATGGGGATGATTCTGAAATCTCCCTTAAAGTTCTAACAATTGCAGTCATCTCTTCTGAAATTTGAAAAATTATACATTGCTAACTTGGTGTTATGAAAGATTATAATAGCTTTCATAAACTCTACAAATCTAAAGTAAAAAAAATAAGTTTAAAGGAGGGGTAAAAAAACCCTTTCTTACTAACATTCTTTTATCCAAAAACTCTAACATTATCTTATCTAGTACATTATATTTCATTCCCAATTTCTCTACATAGGCTTTGCTCAACTCTACAAGAGCAGATAACCAATAGGAATGCATTTGTTAAAAGAAGAATTTTTACAAATTGCTTTACAAAAAAAAAAGTCAGAGCACCAAAACTTGATTTAAAAAATTTTTTACAAAGAACTACCTTAAAATTTTTACCTAGAGAGTAACGGTAATATTTGATTTCTTTTATCCTTTTCATTTGTTTTAAAAACCTGATAGGGGTAATATGAGATATTCACAGGACACTTTATATTTATATCACCAATTGCCACCAAGAGATGCTTTTTATAATTGTATCACCAATTGGCAGCAAGGGGAACATTGGACACATGACAAAATTTTCAAGTTGGAATACTCTTTTGTCCAATCAACGGCCCTTTGGGAAGTTGACCACCACTAAAGATTATAAGTTTCGGTAGAATGGGAGATTAAGAGTTCAAATCTTACTTTTCATTAATGTGCCATTATATGCGACTTCTTCTAAATCCATACGGATGCATAGTGCATGCTTCTGGTTCGATAATAGTTCAGTTTTCATCGATTTCTCTAGGCTTCGTAATGCCTCTCCCCCATAGTGTAGGTTAGAGTAAGAGTAGAAGTAAGGGAGGCTAACTACTGCTGTCTGATTAAAAAAAAATTGCTCTTTTGTCCACTGGATAATAGCACAAAACAGCTCCTTTATCAGGCTTTAAGGATGCTCGCCAAATGCCCGTATAAATAGTTTTTTCCATTTGATTGGTAACTCATCTTGCTTTCTTCAACCAATTGATTTTATTACTGATTTGATCGTTGGAGTGACATTGGAGAAAGGTCCGACCATTTAATTCCCCATCATTCGACCATATATTAATTGTCCACCCTCCAGCTCGTATCCAACTCAGAACTTCATCTTGGTAAACTTATTCTGTCCAAAAAAAAAATCTGACATGAAAACTTGACTTCTCAAAACTCAAAAGCGTGTAACCTTCATGCCGTGCTTCCTTAGCTTTTGAAATTGAGACACATGAGAAAGCCTTTCAGGCTGGAACACTCTTTTATTTACTGTATAATAACATGAAACACCACTTTATCCAGTTTGAAGGGCACCCTCCAACTGTCTGTTAAACTAGTTCTTCTCCGTTTTAGTGGTAACCCATCTTACTTTCTTGCAATGTTTTAAAAACCGGACCGTTAATCGAACGGGTGAAGTGAAAGGGTCGAGGTTCAACCGGTCGGACCGGTTCAACCTCGGTTCAATGAATTTTTTTAAAAATAATTTATATAAATATATATGTGCACAAAATAAGACATGTAATGGATAATTTAATACTTTATATGATGAAAAGTTTACTATTTTTGAATAACTTGGATTTTTAAAAATAAATTTTTTAAATTATAAGTTAAAACAAATAAATTTCATCTTAATTTCAATTATATCTACCAAAAAAAT